AATTTCATATACTCGTTCTATATTAGCTCCCCCAATTTTCAATTGAAGTTCATTATCTAGTCTACGATTCCCAAATACCATAAATTTAGTTTTATCCAAATTCAGAGATAGCATATTACTATCACACCATTTCTTTATCTTCTCAAGTTCCTGTGAAACCCGTCCAGAGAGTTCCTGTAGGTTTTCACCCGATGCCCATATGGTAGTGTCATCAGCAAATAAAACCACTTTCACTAAATCAGAAATCTTGCATATATCATCAATGTATAATATAAATAATTTAGGTCCCAAAACAGAACCTTGTTATTTTATTAATTAATTATTTTTATTTTGTTTATTTATTTTTTGCTTTGGTCATATGGAATTCTTTCTCACAATAAAGGAATGAGCACAATTTTACTTAGCCCTCAGTCCATTGTTAGATTAGTAAACCATTAACCTGACATATTACCTAAAATGTAATATACAGTATATCATGTGTAGTGGCAATAATACAGTACAAATACCTGTAAAACTCCTAGCAAATTACACTAGAGCATCACACAAAAATATCTTGCCCAATGAAAGTGCCTCACTTCTGTAATTGCACTTAATGGGAGACTTGTGGAGAGAAAAACATCATAATTCCTTAAATGTCTACATTTGGAAACAACCGACAAAAACACCACCAAGGTCTGAAAAGATTCACACCGAACTGACTCAAAACTGGACCTAGGTCTAACAGACCAAACAAAGATTTGGGTAGCAGAACATTAAAGCATCTTACTGCTGGTGCTCAGCTCAGTCGGCACATGTCACATCTTGTGATTATTAATGCAAAATTTATAGATGTTCTAGAGAAGAGTCTCTTGTTTAGGACTTTTGTTGTCTATGTTGTTGGACAAGACAATCATATGACTGCATACCTAAAAGTCTGTACACTGACAATATAGCACCATATCCCATAAATAAAGTTTAATTACTCTTGAATGACTTCAGAGGACATGACGCATCCATGTTTGGTTTGCCAGCACTCCCATAAGTTCCAAGTTCCATATTTCTGTATATATTAGAGCTTCCATCTGAGTTCCCTGGTTTTAATTAAGACTTAGATTTTGATGTGACCATATGGGTAATTATGGTAACTCTCATCTAACATGAATGCAACATCAGTTGATGTCTACTGAGGTTGCATTTCTACCCTGTTGCTCTGCAAGTCCTCTGTAAGATAAAGAGTGCCTTGTTGAAGGACACACAAAAAAGTACAGTAGTGACTGTGTGATATAAAAGAGTAGCAAAGAATCAACCCTCAGGCAAAAAACACATTTGGTAACTTCTGTGGGCATCCTAAATGGCTATGAATATCTGTAGAAAAAAAGTAGTTTTGTATTTTTGCACATTTTTAAATTTAAAAAAATGTGTCTTCACCTTTATCTGTGTGTTTTTTTAAATATGCTTGTATATACAGCTTCGGGGTAAAATATCCCCCTAGACAGGGAAGGAAGCAAATGTATATATTGACCATGATTTGCAACATGACAATGACATTTTTTAAGTCAAAAAATATATAAAAAATGATGTAATATTAACCTCAAAGGACACCGTTGCAGTGGCTCTATTTAATATTTTCCAGTGAGAAACCTAAAATACAGCGGATATACATACACACCAAGACACAGTATGCTGTCACTCTCACTCCCTGTTCCTGTCTCTCCCACACTCACAAATACATGCATACAGGCAACACGGAAACAACACACTCCTCTCTCTGTCTCTCTCTCTCTCACACACTCACACATATACAAAGAACCACCAAGAAAATGTTGAGTGTGTTTGTGAGCAGTGTAATCGCTGAAGCTGAAAAAGCAATGTGTCTGCAGTGACAGGTTCATTCAGGTGTTAGCTCCGTCCCAACCACAAGGCTCCAAAACAATATTACACTGTCCTCTAGTGCATACACGTACACACACGCTCAAATCCATACACACACCAGAACAATGTTCCCCAATACTACAAAATCAAAGAAAACCACTGCACTGTTCACACTTTCTCACCGTCTCTGAACAACCCATTCTCATTCCCAGGTCGTGAAATACTGACACTTCGTCAAACCTACTGGCATCTCATTGTAGCAAGGTACTCTTTGGCAATTGACTCCAGTGTTAACCCACTCATGGAAACAGACGCCCAGAGCATGCACACATGCTCAGACACATTGCGTTGGCTGTGTATTGAAACCAGTGTTAACCTACCTGCAGCAGTACAGGATACTTTGAGCTTCAGCATTCCCATTACAGAGCCAAGGGATGACACAGATTTTCTGCCCAAATAAGGTATTCAGTGGGAAGTAGCTTTCTTTCCACACTCACTTTTAATGATTTATCAGTATTCCGCAAGAGAAAAGCATGGGAGTCTCTTTGATAATTTCACTATATGATGGGTTTATGTGATGGCCAGTGGTTTGGGGGG